GTTGTTTTTTTCCTGTTTTAAACCGAAAATGAATACTAATCGTTTTTTTATATATAAGATTCATACTAATCTTTAAAGTCAAATTAAATATTAGTATTTTTTACAACATTTTAATAGCTACTATTGATTGAAATCGTAATGAGATGCGGTACTTCAACGTGTTGAAATCGTAATAACGTCGATCTCCCATTCTAGAGTGAATCATTCGATATAGACAATAATTATCTGCGAGAATTTTTGTTGTTTCGAAAATTTACACTGGTCAATTTATTTAAAATTGTTTAAAAAAAAATATATTTAAAATTACAGTAGAAACCCTTGAAATTTAGTTGATGAGTTATTCAGCTTTTTTTTTTTTTTTAACCTTTTCATGTTATTCAGCTATTTGACAACTATAACTATTCAAAAGAAAAGAGTACAATTTTGTAAAATGGAATATTAGCCTTTTACACACGAATATTTGCCTTCTTGGGTTGTAGGAATCATTGGTTTTCGCTTTGAATACTTCTGGTATATATTATAGGATAATTAGATAAATAATTATTTAGATTAATGATTGTGGAAAATGCGAATACCCGTGTGGACAAAGAACACGTGCGAGTTGTTCTTTCTAAGTGGCAATGGCGGCTGAGTTGGGAATCCAAAAAAAAGGAGGCGCGTGCGGACATGACAAGCAATCAAAGGTGGTCCCAATTTGATAAATGTGTTCTCCATCTGTCACGTGTCCCTTTTCCGATTTTAAAATTTGATATAAAAATCATGAATATCTTCTTAGTTTGAAATTAAATCGAGTGGTTATTGTTTCTCCGATTATTGGTTCCTAATCGATTCTACTCCATTATCATTTATCCAGTTTTCTTTGTTATAGGTAAATTGACTAACTTGGAGATAGGAGTTGGATCTGTTTTCCTAAAAGCTTTGATTTAGAGTGGATCGGTATTTTTTATGTTTTTTAAAATGAGTAAAACATCCGACTAATCTATTCAAATATTATATTCACCAATTTTTAATGGATATTTCTTACAAAAAAGGAACAATTTTTTTTTTATTTAGTTATCGTATTTTCAACTTTACAAATTGTTTTGTTCGGTTTTAGTGAAATAATTTGATATTTATTTCATAAACTTGTTCTATTTTTTTAAATAAAAAATTTGTTCTATCTTTGAATCTAAATTGGAGTATTTCTCTTGGATTTTTTTGCAGTTTAGTTTACTAGGCCACTGCAGGTGCAGGATAAAATAATTGTGTATATGTATTTTATGTGATTAGTCTCAACGATGACGTACGATTTGAAAGTCTGGTAATGATACATCTACATATGCATATATATAGCATGTTATGAATGTTACTGCT